TGAGTGTGTGTGTGTGTGTGTGTGTGCGTGTGTGTGTGTGTGTGTGTGTGTTTGTGTGTGTGTGTGTGTGTGAGTGTTGAAACCCCAAATCAATGTGATAATGTATAGACAAAAAAGGTTAATGGTATATCATCTTATTACCCTACACTAAAAACGTTGATGCCTGTTCAGCTTTCAGTCTGATAGTGTGCCCTATATTTGGCCACAGAAGCGCCAGAAATAATCGTCACGCCGACCCTTGTTTTTGATTCTCTGTTACAAAAAAGCGCTTTTCCAACGAAAAAAAAATGCTCTTAAGCTAAGTTTTAGTAAGAGTTTTACAGCACTTGCAACACAAATAGGCCAAAACCCCACGAAGATTATAAGTGATACCCGAGAGTAACATAAAGAGAAAAGGAGCTGAAATGAGAAGGAAAGACGTTTGATAGTAAAGAAGGAACAAATAACACCAGAGCACCCACCAACCACCCACTCAAAATGCCGTAATATCAGGAAAAGAGATACCTCTATAACATTACAAAATTACACAAGCTAAGCTTCCAATTTCACGACTGGCTTCCTCACAATGCCTGTTCTCCGTTTATCCACTTATCGCAGTCGTTGGTCTAAATCAACAGAAAATACACCCATATCAGTCCTTTTACGGCAGCAGGGCAAGGTGCCTTAAAACTAGGCTCGCACCGGTATCGCCAATGCGTATTTACAACAAAAAAAGCAATGCTTAGGAGTACTCGTTTGTAAAATATCGAATGCACACGTTCTTTTCTTTAGCAGTAATAACATGCGATTAAAAAGCTTGATTGATTGATTGATTGGGTAGATGTTTTACGGCACTATCGACACAATTTTGGTCATTTAAGCGCCAACAGGTTTCACCGCTACAAAATCAGACGTGTTTTAGTAAGAGTCTTTCGAAGCTCGCAACCGCACACGATCACACTATTTTCATTATGCTAAAAAGACGAACAAACATTTATAAAACATTTTGGGTAAATATGGAAAAGGCGTATTTACATTTGTATATACAATATAAATTTCAGTGTATGTATATATACACCGATAACGATAACTATATATTTTCATTAAAAAGCTGTCGTCTTGCCTTTTATATTTTTCTATATCTTCTCGGAATCAAAGAGACTGTTTTAGTAAGAGTTTTACGGCACTTGCAACACAATAAGGTCACACAGGTTCCGAAGATTATAGGTGTTACAAGAGAGTAACAAACACAAAAAAAGAAGGAGGAGAGATCAGGATGATACATGTTTGATAGGAAAGAAGGAGCAAACCAAACCAGAGCACCCGCCAACCACCCATCCAAAGAGACATTATCATCATCATAACTGCGATTATTACAATCATTCTCACAATCATCATTACTATTGTTGTTACTGAGGTCAATATTATTGTTGTTATAACAGTTGTGTCATCATTACCAATTACTTTTACTTCTGTTGTTATCAATCATAGTCATTGATACTGAAATCAACATAACGAAACGATAGGTCTACCCAGTATGAGCTTGTATTGTAAGTGGCTAGAGGGCGCCGCATTCCTTTCCCCTCTGAGATTTCTGTCTACCACGTCTTACTTTCTCTCTCGACTAAATGTGTACATTATAATAATATGTCCTTTACTGCGTCGATATACTTCTCTTTACTCAAATAAACATATCAAACTAGTATGGGCTAGATACTGAAGTCGTGATTTCAGAAAAAAGATTTAATAAGCAATAGAGGTGACCACTTTGTCCACCACGATAATTTCCACGCTGAGAAAAATAACCAACCAAGTCCTAACAAGGTGGTTTAGAACAGAACTTACGAGATGAGCCCAGCTCAAAAGGCATTGTGTATCCGTAGATGTATTTAAAGAGCGTCAGAAAAAAGAACGAATTGGACTAGAGATTAGCAGTAGTGGGAGGGAGGAGGCACAACAAAGGGGGAAGGTTAAGCTGGGAGGAGAAAAGGAGAATTATGGGGCGGACTATGGGCGGTAACTTCGGGAATGTTGTGCGGTCTAACATCT